AGATTATTCCCTTTTGACAACAGTACATCATTTAACGTTCATTGTGATGTTGAATATTTTAATTTGCCAATCAAAATTAAGTCTGGTAGTCAGAATCAGTTATGGTATTGGTTGCTGGTGGTCGGCGATCAATCGGTTTTGTTTTCGAATTGAATATTTTTTCATCTGCTTAACTTGGTGATGCCAGTTAACAAAAGTTTCATTTATACCTTCGGCACACTTCCAGATAACTCTAAGACAGCTAACAAGCTTACATTTCTTCCTTGCATGATCTTCTCCGTGTTACTCTTGGCAGCTCAGCTCACCACTCTCTATTCATCCGTCGACTTAGAATATGCGGACAATATAGTCCTTCTAGGCGAGGACGCTGACAAAATGCAGAGTCTACTGAACACCTTGAGCAACAATCTTCGTATGTTTGGCATGCGATTCGCCCCTATAAAATGTAAGATGATGCTGCAGGATTGGACTTCGCCGACCCCTAGATTAGAAATAGGAAGTGAAGTGGTAGAGCACGTTGACCGCTTCACTTACTTGGGAAGTACCATCAGCCAGCGGCAACGGGTTGATCTCCGACGAAATTTCAGCACGGATACAGAGGGCTAGTTTCTCATATGCCAGTTTACGCCGTCTCTAACGTAGACGCGATATCCGACTATCGACCAAAGGGCGTGTGTACTGCTCAACAGTCCGCTCCGTCCTCCTTTATGGCTGTGAGACCTGGCCATTGAGAGTGGAAGATATGGAGAGATTAGCTGTGTTCGATCATAGGTGTCTGCGTTCTATCTCCCGCGTGAAGTGGTATAATAAGGTGAGCAATATTGAGGTTAGGCATCGGTCAAGTGCCAGATAAGGCGGGGAAATCAATAGACGAGGCTGTGAAATTACATCAACTGAGATGGTTAGGACATGTGCTACGTATGTCTAGTCATCGCCTTCCTCGACCGACGAGCAATGTTAGCTGACATAGGGCCAGGTTGGAAAAGAGCTAGCGGCAGTCCAACCAAAACATGGCACCAGTCAATGAAATCTACAACAGTTAGTCTAAGCCACGTAGGAAGGTGTAGACTTCCTGGTTGGGGTCCTCGGGACGGTAAACACCAATGAAGGCTGGAGACATTTGGTGATATGGCTCAAAATCGTTCTCAATGGATGGTGTAGATGCAACCACTCCTTGTGACTTATAATTTCCAATGAAACTGTTTTGTTCTTCGTTATTACTATTCCTTTGTCTCACACCTCTGTTTACTGTGTATATTATGCATTTCTCCTACTTTCTTCTCTTGCTTTGTGTGTGCTACATGGAGTGTGGCGACTTGAACTGCCGCACATCGGTGCAAAGTTCTATGTCGAAAACCGACCGATTCATCGGGTTCCACTCAAAGGTCTGGCTCAAGATATCACTTGAAAAAAGTGTCCTTAGTGTATGTCCAATTCTTCGCCATTTCCTTCTGCGCATTTGTTTGTTGGTTCGTTGCAGCAAGAGCTTCTTGTCGCTTATCCTTTCTGGCTGTTGATCTGACGGTAGTCATTGACATTAGTGTTAAAAATTCAAATCTTGTTCTTTCTGCCCCCCCCTCCGCCTGTCCTTAGACTTTCACCAGCCGGTGTCATCTGTCTTCGAATCAAGAAGTCCCCTCGATTTCAGCAAGAATAAATTTATTTTCCCTGTGCGCTGAAGTTTCTGTAACTACAGCGGTGTTTTTAACGAAGTGGTGTCGTCCAGCCCAACTGTCAATCCTCTCCAAGCTGACGGTAAAGCAGTAAACTGGGCGAGGCCATATATATATATATATATATATATATATATATATATATATAGGTATATCCAACTCACAACTCTAGGTCGAGAAATGAAACATCAAGAACATAAAAGAGAAGAGAATGAGTTCAATACACTTAATTAATTCGGTATTAACGGTTTTTCGTATTACATAACACAAGCATGTATTATCTATCACAGATAATTGTATGCAGTTTATGCAAAAATAAAGATTCTGATTAATGCTGTTAGTAATGCACGCATTACTGATTTGTTTTTGTGCGTGTGTGTATGTGTTTGTGTGCATACATTGTTTGTTTGTTTGTTTGCTTTTTTTCTCACATAAATTTGCATAATACTCTTCAATTTTATCATCTCTACGTAAAAACAAGTACAATTTACGCTGACGTAGGCTTTTTTAAGTGGAACACTTAGCTTTCATCATCTGTCGAAATAACGATGGATATTAGGTATTAACAACACAATACACCACTCTTATCTGAAGACCAGTTCTCTGTCCAACCGTGTGTGTCCTTTTGTACTGTCTGGTCGGAAGTTGAACATTTAGTACTGCTGGATTTGTTCGAGTGACAGAGTAGTCTAAAATTTAAGAATTATTAGACACCTTTGTTTTTTTAAGGATCGTTGTTATGTGCTCTAAAAAGTCTAAAGATACATTTTCCATAAACAAACTTACTGTGGTCTTTTTTTTCGTGATTTCGCCTGTATTTTTCGGTAGTGATGAAACTTATAAAGGCAACAATAAAGAATAGACACCACAATCACAATGACCTTGGACCGACCAATCAGATCGCTCACCATTACAAATGGATGCTTTTCATATAATCTTTGTTGCAAGTTTCACCCTAACCTAGATCAGGATGGAAATTGAATCGTAATTAATTTCGTACCAATTTCTTTTAATTTTGATTCTCAACGAACATTTCAATTACCGCAGATTTTCGCGGTCTTGTTTAACAGGGTACTAGTCAATTATTCCTAAAATCCTTAAGGTGTAATTTGGTAAAGTACAATTGTTCCATGTGAAGTTTTCATTTTTCCTCATTTCTTTGCCCCCCGAGTGGAACTTAAGACTTCAAGTTTCAATATCAGCGGTGTTGTTCTCTACGCGGGGGTGTTGTTAAGGTCACACTCAACCTTCCCTCCTCTTTTGGATTAGGGATAAGGTTATTTATAGTGTCAAAATTGTCTTTTTTTGTGTTGGAGTATTCGGTGATTGCCTTTTGATTCGTATTTGAAGTCTTTCAATGAAGACGTTTATCACAGGTCTGTATTTCTGGAAAAATACGTGTTATTATTATTGTTTCCTTTAGTTCTTAAATGAACGTAGCGCTTCAGCCGCACGTCTCCATTGCGTTCGGTTCCCTGCCAACGTTTTCATCGGGCTCCAAGTCTGTCCACATGCTTTCATCTCCTCTTCACATGATCTACCCCATGTCACCCTCGCACTGACGAACAACTCGTCGCTTCCCGTTCAGGTTCCACACGAGTGAATGCCTGGCGTGTGATGTTACCTGATGATTTGTTTTCTCAGAGTATGGCCAATCCACCTCCATTTCTTTCTTCATATTTGTTGCACAATTGGTTCCTGGTTGGTTCGCTCATTGCCAGAGATCCTTGTTGCAGATCTTTTCTGGCCGGCCATCTGATCTTGAGTAGTAGTGAGCGAAGACAGCTGTTGATGAAGGTCTGTAGTTTATTCTGAGTGCCCTTCGTGATGCGGCACCAAGTCTCTGATCCATATAGTAAGTAGCACTGACTTCATCAATGGAGTTGAAAATCCGGGATCTTATCTTTCATGCTGAGTAGTGCTGTTGTTCTCCACACAGACGTGAGAGTAATGAAAGTTTGCCTTGCTTTCCGGACCCTCGCTCTGATATCCTCATCATTTCCGTCCGCCTGTAGTTGAAACAATGCTTCCCAGGTAGGTAGGTATATGAAGGAGATAGCTTCTTTCAGATTCCTCCCATTCATGCTGGCTGATTGTTGTGTGTTGTTGCTGCTGTTGGTGGTGTTGGCCAGGAATCTCCATCACCTCTGTTTTCTCCATGTTCACCTCAAGGCCTATATTTAATACTTCTTCTGCCAACTTGTTGCTTTTCGCTTGCATATCTTCCAGTTTGTGGGAAATCAGACATAAATCATCGGCGAAGTCCAGATCCTTTAAGTTTTTTGTGTGGGTCCATTTTATGCCTGTCTCCTCGTTGCCTGCTGTCTGTCGCATTATCCAATCTACTGCAATCAGGAAAATCATTGGAGATAGTAGGCAGCCAACGTGTCTCACTCCCGTCTTCACTTCGAAGAATTCTGTGAGTTTCCCGTTGTGGATTACTTGGCATCGACACTGTTGTACAGCTGTTGGATGAGGTTTTCAACTGTTGGCGGCACCCCTTGGTAGTAGCAAAGTAGTTGCCAAAGCACCTCTCTATCGACGCTGTCGAAAGCCTTTTCAAAGTCAATGAAAAATACGTAAATGATTTATATTATCAGTGTTTCAAGGGTTTAAGCAATGTTTACTTAAAAGTGATGATATTTTTTATTTTTTTTTTCAAAATTTTATTATAGCTTGACTTCACACAGTATTCTGGATACAAGTGTGAAATTTTCAGCATGTGATATCGGTAGCCCAAATTTCGCAGGCCAACCATTGATATCGGGTGTGCGCCGGCGGGGGTTCGAACCCCGGATCATGTGCATGGTCAGCGAGAGTCCTAAACACTGTGCCATCGTAGAATGTCGTAAGATTAATCACAAGCTGATATCAGTGAGAGAATCTCTGGAGAAATTGGGAGTTCTGGACAGCTGTTTCGCTCTAGTTGATTATTGTTCAACAGGTTTTCTAATGGTTCTCTAACTTATATCACCTTGTGATCAATCCTGTAACTTATCGATTCCCTTGTCAACCAACACTTGATGGACAAAAAGGAATTTCCCTACTTCTCATCGTGTCTCATCTCCGTTGATATCACATGATTTACTCTTTTTTGACAATCTGCAGAGATACTGATTTCTCTCTATATTGGTTATGCAAAATTTGACAGATCAATGCATGAAGTAAGAATACCGCCTTTTGAATTCTTCATTTGTTTTTTCAAAGAACGTGTTCATATGATTCCACAAAAATCATGTAGATCTCATAAATGTGGTTTTTTTTCTTCTCTGTTTGTTTGCTCCTCTCTTTTTCTTGTTTTTTTCAATTCTTTCTTTTCTACATACAGCTGAATGAGTTATCCTCCACCACAGTATTATCCATCCAGTTCACGTTATCCACCGCCGAGCGTTGATAATGCGGATAGAGAATATTTTCAACAAAAAGTTTATCATTACTTAAATAAGTTACGTGAATTTTTGCAAGAGGTACCTTAGTAAGTTGGTCTATTTTGTGTGGCGTCCCTGTCTTCTTATTTAATGATAACTTTATGTTTTTATTGTATATATTACTGCAAATTTATTCCATACTGTGACTGAATTCTGTTATCTGAATATAGTTACTCGAAATGGCACTTTAATTAGCTCTCAGCATAGACCACTAGAACGTCGGGGGTGGGGGGAAACATTTTGGGGTTCAACTTAACTGATCTACAGCCATGCTCAACCTGCCCACGACTTAACACCTATCTAAATGGGATGTAGATATCAATCCTCCGTCTGTAACTGAAGTTACAAAGGCTATCTCTATTCAGAAATGCGGCAAAGTAGCTGCAAGCGATAGAATGACTCTTGTGGTATTTAAGGATGACCGTGACGAACTGCTGCCTGGGTTAACTAGGATTTTAAGTAATGTTTACAAAATTGGAGATATTCCTGTTAGATTCGTGTAACTCACTAGTTTTAGGCTCAGATTAAATGGGGCTCGAAATGAACATACTCGAGATAACCAGGCAGGCTTTAAACCAGGAAGAAGGTGTATTTTTATTGTTCCCTTTGGTTCCGAGTGGAACGTACGGCTTCAATAGCACATCTTCACTTTGCATTCTTCTCTGCGGTCCTTTTTAGTTGGCCCAACAATTGCCCGTAGTCTCTGCTCTCCTCACTGCACAATCTTCTCCATGTCAATCTCGGAAGCCTAACTTATCGTTTCCTATGTGGGATCCACTTGAGTGCCTGCATTGTGCGCCATGTCATGCAACGGTTTTCTCAACGTGTACCCAGTCCATCTTCCTTTTCTTATACATATTTGTTGAGCAATCGGTTTTTGACTGGTTTGTTGTCAGATTTTCTTGTTGCTAGTTCTTTCTGATTGGTCATTTGATCTTCAGTATGGAGCCACCGAAGACAGCTTTTGATTGGACACTTGTTAATTACTAATGTTAGGTGTAGACTAAGTTCTATCAGTCAAGTTTACACTTTGACCAGCATGCTAGGTGTCATGACGTTAGTATCCATCACAGTCCTCTACAGAAGGTCAATTGCAAGCCTGAATAGTTCAGTGGTATCGTCTCTGACTGCAGGACCATGTGACCTGGATTGGAATTTCAGGAGGGGCAAGATTTCCTTCAGAATTGGAAATACGCTTTGCTGACTAGGGAGTGCCAACAACCACATAACCTAGGCGCAAGGTTTCCCATCGATTGCCGGCAACTATCTAACGCTAACTGGAAAACTGTGCCGTGTTTGGAAGTCTTCTAGACTGATAATCCACACTTCGACTGATAGAATTCAATCCGAATCACCACTATTAAGTGCTAAACACATAATACTAGATTCTCCTCCAGTATTATGTATTTTATTCTGTATAAAATTATTTAATAGACCTTTGAATTGTGTTTTCATGTTTGCATCACGCAGTTTTCATTCTTTAACTTCATTCTATTCAGACTGTGCTTTTTTTAAAAAATATTGACTGTCTAGTGATATGCGACCAAATATTAACGAGGATATTATTCAACGATTAGCCCATGTCTTAGCTGAAGGCAAAGTATTTACAACTGTATCTGAATTAATTGATAGCCAACGTATTGAAGAGCAAATACTGCACAAACAACTGGTTGATTTACGTGCTGAACAATCTGGTGAGTTGTTATTCGCCTTCTCTTGTTTTTTTTAACCTGTCTTGAACGTTTTTAGTTTTTAACTGATTAAAAATGCCCATTAAAATTATCAAAAGAATAGGCATGGAACAAAAAGTACTCTTTTCGATAAATTCATCATCAGGTTCTACAATTAAATATATATATTATAATGAATGAGTGAACAACATTAATGTTGTTTAAATAACATCAAATCAATAATATTGATAAATTACAGATGAACAGCATCAACATAAAATAAGCTGAATGTCAGAAAAATTAGGAAAGATAATATTAAAAATTCATGAATTTATATTCTCTACAGAAGGCCAGGGCAGTAGTAGTGGCTGGACTTGTTTCTTTCTGACACAGAGCACTGGTTGTTTGAGGCGAACTGCAATAGCCTCTGCTGTTTGGAGCATGCGGTGCTTCGACGATTTTGGTAGTTTGTTAGGCACCCGGTATATTATAGAGAAGAATTCTTCTACGCTGGCTTTGTGGCCGGTTTGCAGCAGATGGTCTAATATCGAACTGTTAATAGTTTTAACTACACCTTTACTTAGCCATAGTGGAAGATGTTCTCGAGCACGAAAAATCAAGTTCCTAGAGCAACCGCCGATATAACTGGCTCCACAAGCGCAGTTGAATTGATAAATACAATTTGAAGTGGCTACTCTAGGTACTCCACCTTTCAGTCGAGGTAGCACCATCGGTCGTGTAGAGAATAAGACGTGTAGTTCGCCAGCATTAAAAGTTCTTTGAACTGATTTTCTTAATTTATTAGTAATTATCTCGCTTGATATATCGCCCATGAATTGTTGTCGTATATATAAAGGCTTCCTGTTTACAGACAGACAGTAGTCCTTTTCGGCTTTCTTTGTCATATGTTTCTTGATAAATTTGTCAGGATAACCATTTTCGATTAAAGTGTCATATACCATACTTAATTCATCTTTAGTTACTTCTTCAGAGCACATAATTCTAACTCTGTGGCTAAGGGTCTTCACTAAATTTCTTTTGTAAATGATAGGAACGAAGCTGTGAAAGTGTGTATATTGTCCTGTCCAAGTACTTTTTCTATGCAAATTTCTTTTTATGCTACCGTCTGGTTTTCTTGTAAATAGGACATCCAGGAAGGCAATTCTGTCTTGGGATTCCTCTTCGCATGTACTTTTTTTGCCTAATGTTTTAGAGTAGTTTACGGTGTTAATGATGACTAGGAGAGTAACTGAATTACTGCGTAAACGCTTAGCCGTTTTGATTAGTCGCCTTCAGTAAAAATATGCCACACACACATACACAGACACACTCTCTATGTGTATGTTTCAGTTATCAGTTGCGGTAGTAAGTTATCTTCACTTTCATGAACTAATCAATGCTTAAAACAATTAGTTCCCTTTATGAATTTAGATAAAGCAATAAGAAGACGTAATTTGTCTGAATCGTGTAATGTATTTGCGCAACACATTTCGAACAATCTGATCACACACACACGAACTTTTCATAGGAATATATATGAAATTAATAAAGAGGTAAGAGGTGAGAAAAAAGACTTGGGTCAAGTTAAAAGGACATATTCAAGGTTAAAATAACAATGAAGACCACTAAACCAAATAGCAGAGGTAATAGTTTATCTGCTACGGTATCAAAACAAAATTTACCAAGGAAGGTGTAATGTGATGACGAATTGTTTCTGAACGCATAAAGGTGGTTTAAACTTTCTAATTGCTAAGGCTTCCACAAAAGTTTGCTTTATCTGAATCAGTGGTTAATAAGCTGTTGAATTATAACAAAAAGTGACATGTGAAAGTGTTTTACTTGTGTATTTAACTAAATTTGTATTGTGAGTGAACCCAAGTTTGAAAATCTGAACGATAAGCTGAGTTATATTTATAATATATCCACCGTGAATCATGCGCTGACCGGTTTCACTTTTATTGCTCTTCTCAAGGAATCACGAGCCTTATTTTGCAGTGATTTGATTGATTATAGGTTTGATCACGAATTGATATCAGTAAGAAAACCTGGTTGTACTGGACAACTGTTTCGTCTTGGTTTGGGACTCCTCAACACTACGCACCCACCGGGGTTCTAACATACTTGATAATTAATCTGATGCTCACTAGCGACTGGCTCTATACAGAATGTTACCTGGAGTTCTAGTTATTAGAAGTCCTACCCGGCGGGGTCCACTAATTCCGGTGAGAGAACAATTAATCACCTGTGATATTGGCTGGCGGTTGCACTATATGTAACATGACTTTGCGGAAACTGGAGTTCATGCACTGGCCATTCAGTCGAATCCCAGTGGCTGAATGCTCTACGAACTTGTCTTATAACGGGAAATCCTGGGTTTGAACCGCACAGAGGATGCGCACTGTCGATGAGTCCCAAAGTAGGACGAAGCATCTGTTAAGTACTTTTTAATTGCCATCACTTTTTAAGGTACATTTTATCTTATATTTGATAAACTATTCCCATAATCAGCCATAATGTACGCATAAATATAAATAAAGGTTTTGATGTTGACAAGTGGGTAGCTTTCATGTCATGTTTTGGCTCTTGTTAAACTCTGAGACTTCATCAGTCACACGATTATATGATGTTACTTATCTCAGTAGAATAAGTTCCGCTAATTGGTCACTGGAGAGTAGTCTTTCTTATGCGTCTAGTCTTTTCTGTGGTGAAGTTTTATTAATGTGGTCATCAATCCAGGTGACACGTGATGGTGATTGTTATAACGGAGTGTTGGTTGTCTATCGTAACTAGAATGCGCCTCCAGACAACTGATCACTTGACAAAAATATTCCCCCACACTGATGTAGACACAAAAGTAAGATATAACTGAGACAACTGCGACAATACAAAGTAAATAGTCCTTTACACATTATCGGAAATTTAAATCTCTGATAAATAATCAATATTTGGTTGATTGCATCAGTCATGACAAACATAATTATTCTGTTATTATAAGATAGTTGGGGGGAAAGCTTGGATCTAGCCCGAGTCTTTGACTGTAGCAGTGGGTGGCACAGATTCGAATCTCAGGTGGGACATCAGTTCCTGCAAGATGGCAGATACACCTTGCTGGCTGGTGAGTGCCAACAACCACGACACCTATGTTGAAGGGTTTCTGTGGCCGATCGCCTCCAACCATCTATTAACAACAATTCACAGTGCATCGTAACACCGAGCCACCTGGTGGAATGGTGGCAACATTTCAAACTTCACTGGCAGAATTCACTCTGCACCAAAAATGTACTAGACTCATGGTACCGGTTACTAACTACTTATTCTTCAGTCAGTGTGTAGTTAGTTCGTCATAAGAGTGATGCTCTTTTTTCATGAGGCGTATCTGTAGAGAAAGGATATCGCCTCTGAGATTAGAACAAGCACTAATAACAATGACGATTATTTCGAAAATGGTCTGTTAGAATGTCTTCTTGCCGTTTTAACTTTGTCTTTTTTTATGACCATCGATCAGGTGATTCTGCTGATGATTGTTATTATTGTTATTTAATCACATGTAAGCTTTTTCATGTTTATCTGTCTGATCACATATGCACGCATTATATTGACTATATAACAGTGTGAAGTGTTAATGCGTAGTTCATTGTGTAGCCTTAACTGTCTGTAAACTAATAGTACCAGTGTTTATTTAAAAATATAGAAGATAATTTTAAAAAATGTTTCATCAATCACTGTTTTTACTTTGGTAATAAAAATAAACGTTTCATTTATTCGCTTATTGGTATTATGATATAATTGTAAGGTTAAATAAGGCATTTAAGAAGACAAATATTGTCAAGTGATATGATATCATTTCTTACTTCCTCTGCGATCGCTTTCTACAACTAGCACTGAGTGGATAATGTCTTCATTTCAACCGTTTTCTTCCTATCTAGTAGAAAACGTGTTGCGACGGTCAATGTATTATTGTTAGCCGTGGAGTCATAGTTGATGCATGCATTAATGGGATAACCTGGTTGGACAATTTCTGATTGGTTTATTTACGGAGGACCTTCAAGGTCATACAGTCAGTCAGATATTGATTATCAGATTTATGATTTAAGTTTCCATTGATTTGTAAACTATATATATATATATATCCTGTATTTTGAATAATAAAGTTGTTGTCGCGGTTGTTTCAGTTAGACCAGACTTTTGTGTCTACCTCAGTGTGGGGAATATTTCCCAGTGACCGCCTGGTTATATTGTCATTTCTGGAGGCACTTGTATTCAGGCTAGACGACAAAGAAGAAATCACTAATACTCCGTTATAAAAGAAAACGTTACTCAGTGAAATTCCTGTTTTCAAAGGTCTATAAAATTTGCACAAGCGATACACTAATGTGGATGAGCTGCGGTGAATGCAATCAGTTTTGCTAGCTAATGTATTTCCTGAAAACTTCATTGTATGTAACAGTAAAGAGAGTGAGTGTTCCTTGAAAGCCACCTAACGTACCAATGATGAAATCATGCAACTCACTGACAGCTCTAAGGCTTCGGTCAGCTACGAAACACACACTCTACATCGTATGCCGTTTCCTTACCTTTCGAGCATTTTCAATTCCCGTGCATGCGATTAAATGACGAAATTTTGTGGACTGTACGTCACACTGTATCTACAAGTTCCCCTGCGGTTCTTGTGACACACAATAGAATGTTCAAGTGTCGTCGGAAAGAAGAAGTTTCATAGGAAATCCAGATGTACTTAATCGGAATAGAAATCCAGCATTATCCATTGCAATGTATTTATTAATGTCTGGTCACAAAATCAATATTAATAACTGTTTATCAATTATATTTCATCACATAACTTTAATTTTAAGGTTATAAAGGGTGATCTGAAACACTTTGAATTAATCACGTGCACTCCAAACTATAAGTACGGCAAAAATATAGACTTCAACCTTTATCTACTCTACGTCTGCTGGATCTATTGAAATGCAATTAATTATTATTATGCACTTTTATTTTAAATAATTGAATAATTTCAGACT